AAAAAATGTATGCGATGAGCTCTGGAGACAGCCTCCTCGCGCCGTTAGTAACGCATGAAATAATTTATTCCTTGATATTACTATGGTTGTCTTATAACTAACGTTGCATAAAAGCGCTTTAATGTCTTTGGTCTCTGGTCGAGGTTGTTCAAAGCCGCAACCCAGTTGTAAAGCGACTCGTGCTGCGGAGCGCCCGCGCTGCGGCAGGCGCCCTTGGAGGCCGCGGCGCTCAATTGTCTCCCCCAACGCACTTCCCGCGCTCGACCCCTCCCTCCCTCCCTCCCCTGCAATCAGCGCCCGCCTCCGCCGCCGATAACAAACCAAAACAAAGGACCAAGCAAGTAGCGACTTGAGGTCGTTACGAGAGCTTTTCCAACACTAACTTGACACAGGTCGATTATAGCTGCTTTCTGAAGGTTTCTAGCTGCTCTAATCGGTAGTGGCTTCGCCGATCTATTCCAGGCGAATGCCGGAGCAGCACTCTAACAATCGGACCATGCCCTCTCCTTCCCCTTAAACACACACACTTTAACTTACATGCACTTAGCTACAACACACATCGGAAGACAAGTCGGGCGTTTAGAGCGTGTCCCCGCTGGGACGGTGCTTTGAGGAACACTCCCAAGCCGACCTCTAAGGCGGCACGGAATCTCGCGTTTCAGCACGGGATGAAACATGCACTATGTACACGAGACTAATGTCCATAGCAGCTGATCCGCCCAGAAAGAAAATAAATCAATGGTTAGGCAAGGACTCCAAGTGGGAGCGCCGTTATGTTACCTCGAAATAGTTCAAAAACGTTATCTCGGCAAATCTCAGTTTTCTACACAATAACGGATTTCAGTTTCTTGTGCGCTTAGCTTTTGCAAATCAGTACTCCACGTACTAATAAAAATGTCGTCTTACGACCACTACTCGTACGTTACGCAATTGAAAAGCAAACATGGTCGGTGACGAACAAGAAGCCTGGTCAGCCAATCGCCGTATTTGTGGCTCCCTTCTGTGATGGGAAGGGAAAACGCCACACCCTTCCAGGACTGACTCGGCGTGCGTCTCTTTCCCTGCACGTTGTGCGTGGCGTTGCGGTCAATGGATAATAGGTCGCGCTACAGCTGGCCACAGCGACATGCGTTCTTCGTAATTTGCATTTACGACGTGAAAGTTGCCAAGAAAGCAGTTGGGGCGTTTGACTGACTGAACCGAACATCACAATGTATGTACACACATTGAAAGGTAACAAAAACAAGCGTTTGCCAAATTTCCAAAACAAAAACAAGTACTCTCAGGCATGGGTCGCAACCCATGTCTGAGAGTACTTTTTCTTGTTTTGGCAAACGCTTTTAAGACAGCCGTGCCTCGCACGTCGAGACAGCAGAGGATGCGACCGTCAGGTCATTAGCTGCAGCGACTTTCCAGCTTCTGTTTTCCTTCAAAGAAAATAGTTGCATTCCTCTGTCGCAGGACCCCTTGGGGCTTCCCATATGCTTCCTCCATGGCTCGCGCCAGACGGACAGCACTTACGTTTGTAAACGATTTTTCTTCCTCGGCGCATATCAAGAGGAACCGAGGCTTTTTCGGACAGCCATCTTCTACAAAAACTATTTTAATCAATAGTCCGTTCCGGATATCTCCTCTTCATTGCAGAAGAGGACGGGGGAGGTTTAGTATCCATGGAGGTACATAAACGATTCATCCCCATCCACCATGGAGTCCAACGAGGGGACACCCCACTGGGGTGACCCGAAGATATAGTGGGGAGATGACACAGCGCTGCCCCGCCGAGGATCCCCCCACTCACCTTGGAATTCAGTACACCTAGTCCGGTCCGATTGTTCGGGAGCGGTTTAGCTCCCGACTGTCCGTCTAGAAGAGTCCGAGGCCAAAGCAAATATGTAGGAAACCTGCAAGGAACGTTCTCCAAAATAAGTAAACAACGTATCCATATGTGCAAAGCCGAAAGTAGCACAAGTAGTTGGAAAACAAAAACGTCCCTCAATTGCCAGGACACACATTCCCTCATCTTCACGGGGGGGGGCAGTGAAATTGGAGTAGAAGAGTCAGGATGTTATCAAAGAATGACTGGTCAGAGGAATAATTGAGAGCCCTCCCTGCATCCCCCCCCCATTAGGACGTGGACCGACCCACCTCGACGGATGCAAGGACGAAAATGCGGTCGAATAGAATCGCACATCAGAAGCGAGAGAGGCGAGCGTTCACCGGGACCTGGGCGCTTCCATGATCGGCCGAGCAGAGGGGGATGCAGATGATTTCATCCCGTTGCGGTGCTGCAAACACGTGCGTCCGTTTTGCCGACCCTCTTAGCTGTTTTGAATCAGCGTTCCCGACTATTATTTCATTCAGCGTAACAAATTATAAGAAAGATCAGTTGAGCATTCAATGTAGTAGTTTGCTAGTAGCAGTAGTGATAATTTGATAAAGAGTTTCGGCCAAATAACATGTATCAAAATTTCAAATTTAAAGTAAACAGCCTAAGTTATCAATTGTAATAATGTTTATCATTTCCACCTAAGAAATTCCATTCCGTAGCATATGCTTAGTAAACAGAAAGGATAAATGGTAACAGAGAGTGTGGGCGCGTGAGAGAGAAAGCAAAGCAGAGCGGTCGGTCAGCTCTTGAAATTGGCAACAATAATTAGTCAAGAGTAAGCAGGGTGAAACGAACCACACCCGATGATGATAACGTGGAAAACTGAAGACTATTTGAGACACCATAACAATATATAAAATTTTGAATAAAAAGACAAACATTAATTATAATTATTTATTTATTAATGTATTCAATTCATAATAATAATAATAATACAAGATATTAGTTGCCACCTTAGTGCTCTTTCACAATTCAGATTTCTAACCCATTTCTGTACAATTCACATTGATATATGTACAAAGGAATATAGAAAATAAGTATGTTACAACTTTGTATTTATA